CCGCCGCCTCCCGGAGCGCCGTCATGGTCCTCCTGCCCCGATCGGTGGCCCGGAGCCTCCTGGGCTACCGGGAAAGCCTCAAGCCGCTGGCGGCCGCGCCCTCCGAGCGCCTTCCCGGGGGGCAGCGGCTGAACTGCACCGGTGAGTGGGTGCCTGGCGGCGGGGCTGGGGATGGGGATGGGCTCCCTCTCCCAGCAAAGAGGAGCCCCTTTTCCGGATCGCGCAAATTCCCCCCCCCCGTTTGGAGCCGGGGTCCCCAAAAAAGGAACTTTTCCAAACTTTGCCGGACGTTAGCGCCACCCTTCCCTCTTCTTCAAGTGCCCGCAGGACTACTCTGTTGGAAACTATAGTAACGACGGTAGCACTGGATAAGAAAACCTCGTTACTTAGCCGGGACTTGGGAGTAACGTAGCCCTTCCCTCCTCGTTCCTTCCGAGGGACCTCCGCGGGCGTTCCCTCCCGTGCGCGCACAGACTGTAGCCGGGGCTCCCTGGCATTCCTTCGAGGGTGGTAAACTGGGATTTAAGCCCACCACTTCTACAGGGGGAGCTCCTCCCGGCCTCGTTCAGCCCATGGTGAGGGATGATGGGGACTGTAGTCCAAATTCCCCGAAAGGTCCACCCTTCCCCATCCCTGATCTGAAGTCACCGGCAGGCTCCTTCTCGGGTGACAAGCCACATGGTGGGCCAGATAATTTCCAAAGCGCTGGAGCCCAGCACCAAGGGGCCAGCCGTGGGCCATCGCTTTCAGACGTTCCCTGGCGGCTGCAGGGCCTTGCCAACAGAAGGCCCCGATCCAGTTGCTCCCTCTGGGAATGGTCCTCCAGAAATGGAAATGTTCTACATTCCATATCTGCGCTGGACCATCGCATCTGGCGTTCATTAGTATGTCCCTCCGGTTTGCCTCCATCACACCACGCTCTCCCAAGCTGTAACCACTAGGCAACCGTTGTGGCTGGAGCCTTAGACGCGGATGAGGGAGGGGAGGAGGAACGCCTCAATGCGACTGGACCAGGGGGAGATTCCTGGCTCAAAACCCGTGGAGAAAGCTGGCCTCGAACCCCCTCAACCTGCTTCGACTGGGATTTCTGACTTGAGCAGGGGGTTGGACTGGATGGCCTTCGAGGTCCCTTCCAACTCTATAATTCAATGGTTCTAAATGCCTGTTTTCCCACTTTTTCCCAGGGTAGTGGTGAGAGGCCCCCGGCCTTCCCTTTGGGGCATGCACTCCCTGGCCCACTCCCTGATGGGCTGGATGCCGTAAGGTGGCCCTCGGAACTGCTTTGCACAACACAGTCCTCTGCCGTAAAACGCCTCCTTCCTCCCCATCCCCTTCCATCATCCCTTACCATCGGCCGTGCATTCCCCCGCTCGGTGTCCTCATTTTCCTCGGCACCTCCTACATGAGAACAAACCTTGAGAAAGCCACCGTTCTCAGGACCTTTTAGCCAGTGTAGATTTTTGGAAGCTGAACCTAAGCCAGGTTACTTTCCGAAGTGCTGATTCGGAGAGATATCCGCGGTCATCATATCTGGCTGCCTGCGCCGGGCGGGGCCACGGAGAGGGTTCACCTCCTGGCCTGGTTTGTGTCGGGGAAGCGTAGCTGTGATGCTGAAAGGAACCCTCCGTTTCGTCCCAGGACGCACCAGCGCCTGAGAAAGCCCAGAGCTGAGTCAACGTATATTCTGCAGAAGCTCCGACCTTTTTGACCGCGGGCTGGCTTCCGCCTCTGGTCCCACACCGACAGCTCATCATGTGCTCTGTGACGGGAGCGAGCTGTCTCCTCTCGGCCTCCTTCCCCTGGGGCTGCCCCCCCCCGGGCTGTGACTTGAAGGCTTTGGTTCCCTAGCCTCTCTCTCCCAGGGACGCACATTGACTTCATCTTGGCTGGAGGCTGTATGTGTGTGTTGCGAACAGCAAATTGGAGAGCGGAAATCTCTTCCCAAGGATTGAGGGGGGGGGGCATCCGCAAAAGCAGATTTAATAGAGGCCGTGCTGCCGTCCTTAGAAGCTGAGCCCAAAAGAGCCCTTTGACTCTACCAGAAGCCAGCTTCGTTTTTACGCCTGCAAAAGTCTACTTAATCAATTTCGGTGCCAAATGGTTGCTAATTGAGAAACGCTTGAAAGGTAGTCGTCCAGAGGAGGGGCAGGATCTGCTCCCAATCATCCCGGAGTGCAGGGTGTGTAACGATGGGGTCAAGCAACAGGAAGACAGATTTTGGGTGAATATCAGGGAAAACTTCTTAACTGTTAGAGGAGTACGATAATGGAACCCAAGGCCTTGGGACGTGATGAGCGCTCCAACGCTGGAGGCATTCAGGAGAAATCTGGACAATCATCCCTCTGATATGCTTTGATTTGGATTCCTGCCTTGAGCCGTGGATTGGACTCGAAGGCCTCATAAAGCCCCTTCCAACTACAGTACATGATTCTTGATATTCTTTCTTGTTGCGAAGCTTAGGTCCCAAAAACACCTGTTTGCGAGCACGGAGGGAGCAGGAAAAATCGTTGTCTAGTGAAAATCGGTTTGCGAAGCAGGGACCAAACATTGTCCAGTGAAATTTCCCCCATAGGAATCACTGTCTAGCGAAAGCCAATGTCTAGCGAAAAAACTGTCATGTGGGGTAACTGTCTAGCGAGGCACCACTGTATTCCTCGAATCCTTGAACCAGCAGTGGCTGAACCAAACTGTGCATCCATGAGATAGCAGTGGACCTGCTGTCTGAAGGATTCTGGGAGTTGCGGTCCCCAAAAAAGGAATATTCTCAAGTTCTCGGGAGGCCCAAGGTTGAGGAACACTGGTCTAAAGGATTCTGGGAGTTGCAGTCCCCAAAAAGGAATATTTCCAAGTTCTCATTGGCGGATGCTCTGCATGCAGAAGTGTTGTAGGTCCATCCAGTTTCAGCAGAGGGTTCTACTGGTTTCTAGGTCGTTCTTCACGCCTCCATGCCCCCGGCCCTACTGGTTCCTAAGAGCTCCATCCAGACCTCCCTTTCTTACCCAACAGGCCTATCGGCGTTGCAGGAGCGCACGCTGATCGCCCTGAAACCAGACGGGGTCCAGAGGAGACTCCTGGGCGACGTGATCAAACGTTTCGAGAGACGTGGCTTCAAGCTTGTGGGACTCAAATTACTCCAGGTAAGGGTCATGGTGTGACAAGAAGGAAAGCCACAAGCTGTGTCGGACGGGCTCCACGCTGAAGCCTTTGCAAGACAGAGAGAGTCCTGTGTTCAACTCCTCCCATTCTTCTGCCAGCAGGCAAGGTTTTAGTCACTGGCAGCTGAGGAAGGGACCTTTAACTGAGTGATCCCATGGCCTTTGTCTTTCCTTCTAAATCTGCTTCGTTGTGTAAACAATAAGATTTTGGCCAGTATTTGAAAAAAGAACTTAAAAATATTTAATGAAAACAATTTAAAAATATTAAATAAAAGCAACCAAACAAAGTTGTTTTTATTTAATATGTTTTAATTGTTTTCATTAATTTTTTTTAACACTTTATTTAATATTTTTAAATTGTTTTCATTTTTTTTAACATTGGCCAAAATCTTATTGTTTACGTAACCTTTGGTAGCAAATCGCTGGACGTTACTGAGTTTGTTATACCCTGATTTATGCAACGCTGACATTAGCACTTGCAGCACAAACTGTGGCAATTTATGCTACACCAACAAAAGGATATGGGTTATTGTAAATTACTGGCCGGAATCCTATTGCATGCATATGCCAGCAGAAGTCAAATGGCACAAATCTGCTTGTTAGCTACAGAGTTTTGTACAGCAGAACCCCCTATGTGCTGGATCAGTATCTATGGATTCACTTATTTGCTGCCTGAAAACCTTAAATCTATCTCATACCATCTTGGATTTTGCCTATTTCTATGTTGTTTAATAGTGTTGTTTTAATTTTTGTTTTATAGTCAGACTGTAAGTCGCCCAGAGTAGATGCGTTGAATCTAGATGGGCTGGGTAACAGCTGGAAAAATCAATCAATCAATAAAATAAAATAAAAAAATACGTATTTCCATGGTGTACTTGGGTAACAGCTGGAAAAATCAATCAATCAATCAATAAAAAACAAAAATACGTATTTCCATGGTGTATTTACCAGAAATGTCCACTAGAGAGAGTTAGAGACCACACTATGTATAGAGTTCGAAAGAGAATGGACTAAAGAATGCACAAAGAAGTGAACAAGCAAGCAGATGAACAATGGAATTCCGGGCATCTTGTGTTAGGTCTGGATACAACCACTTCATAAAACCCAGGAGAACTCTTTTGAACATCAGTCCAGCGCTAGATGGAGCCAGGATCTGACCAAGCCAAGAAGATTCCCCATCTCCTTAAGAAAGGAAGCTAACTTCTCAAACAGAGGGGACTTGAAAGTGGGGTCTTTCCAACAGTTCTGGAGCAGGAAGGAGATTCATGGAGGGAGCCGGTGTGGCCAGTTTTTACCTTCTTGACTGTTCCTTTTTTCCCCCGCAGGCCAATGAAGGGATTCTGTCAGAACACTACCACGAGCTACGCAGGAAACCATTCTATCATGAGCTAATACAGTACATGACCTCTGGACCTGTGGTGGCCATGGTAAGACGGCCGTACGCTCTGTGTGACTATCCAGTGCCCATGAAGTGTATGCCACCAGGCTGTGTCCTCTAAGTCAGTGGTCCCCAACCTTGGGTCTCCAGATGTTCTTGGACTTCAGCTCCCACAAATCCTGGCCAGCAGAGGTGGTGGTGAAGGCTTCTGGGAGATGTAATCCAAGAACATCTGGAGGACCAAGGCTGAACCTGAGTCTCCTGCATCTGTCGATGTGACTACACCGGGAGATGTAATCCAAGAACATCTGGAGGCCCAAGGTTGAACCTGAGTCTCCTGCATCTGTCGGTGTGACTACACCATGAGAAAAATCCAAAGTGATTCACTGTAAAGTTTCACCTGAAAAGTCAGGTTTCCCCCGGTTAATTCATATTGACTGGTCACAGAAGGAGAGAGGTGGACATTGACAAACAATCTTCTTCGCAGCTTAAACAGCCTTCTTCGCAGCTTGTTAACATAGCTGTACTGCAGCCCTCTAGAGTTTCAGGAGGCACAGATACAGGAGAACTAGCTTAACAAGCTGTAAACAAAGGCCAAGTCTCAATTTCCTCCTCTCTTTCTTTCTTTCTTTCTTTCTTTCTTTTTTCTTTCTTTCTTTGTTTCTTTCTTTCTTTCTTTCTTTCTTTCTTTCTTTCTTTCTTTCTTTCTTTCTTTCTTTCTTGTACGGGGTCTCTAGGTAAGAGTCCCCAATCCTGGTCCATGACCCAGCAGCAGTCCATGGCCTGGACAGGATCAGGCCATGGACACAGATCTCCTGCCCCTCCCCGTAAGCTCCACCACGAGCATGTGTGCTCTGCCCCCTGCGAGCGCGCTGTGTGCATGCACATGAGCAGCCCCTGCAAGCACCACCATGCGCATGCATGCGAGTGCACTCCACCCACCTGCAGGTGTGCCACACCCCCATGAGTATGCCAGCCCCCCCAACCAGTCAGCGGTTGGGAAAAGGTTGGAGACCACTGCTCTAGGTGATCTAGCACAACAGTTTTGGCACAAAACCTTTTTTTAAAAGGCATTGCTTTGCAAACATCCAGCCTACCCCGTGTTTTTACGCTGACCCTCCACAGCTGCACCAACCAACAGCACCCCTGCACACACTTTTCTGCATCGGAGAAACAATCACACTGCTTAAACCTATGCAAATGGATCTGATGTCCAAAAGAAATAGAAGCCCCAGGGACAGAGGAAACAACTGCGGATATGTGTGTGTGTGTGTGTGTGTAGTGTGATATTCAGGATATTAGTGTTATTCTTGAGAGGTGCTTCATTTTAGGGGAGGTGTCAATTTCAACAGAGCTTGGAACAGTTACTGTGTGGGGTGATAATTCCCAGGATCCCCCACCTTCAAATGGCCACTAATGATGCTGGGTGGATAGCTCAGTGGTCTAGGTATCTTATCTGGCTGCGGAGCCAGAGGTTGCGAGTTCAATTCCCCACTGGGCCTCCTGGGAGAAGAGCCAGCCTGGGTAGCCTTGGGCCAGCTGCAGAGTCCCAGAGCTCCCCCTAGTGGAAGGGAATGAACCAGCTGCACAGTCCCACAGCGCCCCCTAGTGGAAGGGAATTAAAAACCACTTCTGAGTGTTCTCTGCCTGGAAAACCCTGGAAAGGGTCGCCCCCAAGTCAGAACTGACTTGATGGCCTATTCATATTATTGTGCTGGGCCGAGGAATTCTGAGAGTTCTTGTCACAAAATTAATCCAGCCAAGCTGAAGATGCTGCTACCTGTCTGATAACAGGGAGATGGATAAATTCACAAATGAGGCTATCCATGTTATTATGGCCATAAGACCACCTCAATTTTTGTCCGTTCTTATCCTACTCTGGGTTTTCTGTAGGTTTGGGAAGGGCACAACGTGGTCAAGTCATCCCGGGCCATGGTAGGAGAGACGAACCCTGCAGAAGCCAAGCCTGGGACCGTCCGAGGAGACTTCAGTGTCCACGTCAGCAGGTACTCCTTAGGCCAAAATAGCCAGACCGGCCTTGATTGGACCAACCCTATGGCCTTCTCCAGACCATGAGAGCAAGAGAGAGAGAGAGAGAGCATTCAGACGCTCAGCATCCCCCAGGGAGTGATGTTCTCAACCGTCCTGGTCAAGAGAGAGAGAGAGAGAGAGAGCATCCAGACACTCAGCATCCCCCAGGGAGTGAAGTTCTCAACCGTCCTGGTTAACTCCTGGTGTCAACAAACAGGGCCTGCTTAACCCTTTGGTTTGGTTTGCTCTGCCACAGAGCTCAGAACAGGATGGCTACCGAACTGCAGGTTGGGAGTTCGATTCCCCTACGGTGCCTCCCATAAGAAGAGCCAGCCTGGGTAGCTTTGGGCCAGCTGCAGGCGTGCAGGCGCTCCTGCGCATGCATGAAGGACTGGGGGAACGCTTGCGCTGGCGGGCGCGGGCACGCTGCCCCACCCCTTTGCGCATGCACCCGAGAGAGAGAGAGTGCCTCGCCTTCCTCACAGGCTCAGCCGGTCCGTGGTCCCAAAAACGTTGGGGACCACTGTTGTAAACAATCCATGTTTAAAAAAAAAACACTTGGCAGCCAATTGCTCAGGGAAAGGCTGCCTGAAGAGAAACGTCTTTGCCTCCTTACGGAAAGAAAGCAGAGACGGGGCCAAGCTGGCCTCTAGTGGGAGGGAGTTCCAGAGTCTGGGAGTAGCCACCAAAAAGGCTCTATCCAGTGTCCCCACCAGATGCACCTGTGGAGGTGGCAGGACCAAGAGGAAGGAAGGATATAGGCATGTTGTAAGCCAGGGATGAGAAATGTGCACCACTCCCAAATGCTAGAACTCGCTCAACATTGGCTATGAAGCCTACTGATACTTGGAGAGTGGTCTATTCCCCATCCCTGACCTATCCTGTAGGTCAGTGTTTCCCAGCCTGGGTCTCCAGATGGACTGCAACTCCCAGAAATCCTGGCCAGCACAGTTAGGGGTGAAGACATCTGGGAGTTGTAGTCCAAGAACATCTGGGAACCAGGAGGGTCTTAGATCTACCGCTCTTTGTGGAAAGAGCAACAACAAAGAGTTATTTTTGTTCTCACCCAGTTTTGTTTCCCAGGATGTTTTTGGGGAATCAGCCAAGACCACTCAGGACATGTCGTAGTAACAGACGGAGGTTACCTCTGAAAGGCCGGTGGGGCACCTCGAATGCACACGACTCTCTAACTGTGAGTTTCTTTGGAAACAGGAACGTCGTCCACGCCAGCGATTCTGTGGAGACAGCCCAGCGGGAGATCAGCCTTTGGTTCCGAAGTGACGAGCTGGTCGACTGGAACTGTTGCGATCACAAAATCATGTACGAACTCTGACGACAACCACCTGGCCTTGACCACGCTCCCCAGAGCGGGACCTGCTCCCTCAGCTGACGCGTGACTTTTCCAGAACGCGCCACTTTCTGGCCCTCTGGGTTACTGCCTTCCAATCCAGAAGAAGGAACAGGAGTGGGTGGGTGGGTATCCTCTCCAGCCACGTTGGCCTCCCTCAGGGGAGCAGGCCACATACCGTGCCCCCCCTGTTTTGCTCAGTCCATCTGACTAGCTTCCAAGTTCCTCAGATTCCACACAGAGCCACGGTTTAGAAATGCGGACGAGCGGGATGGGAACAGCATGGAGTACAGGCCATAATAGAAATCACATTAAAAACCAATTTGTACCCATTTGGTCCTTTGTGTGGTAGTAGCTGTGATACTGGGAGGGCTGGCTGATGACTCAACTGTGTTGTAATACTTCAGTTCCAAGCCCCTCCCAGTAGATGCTGAAAAATTTGGAACTATATTTTAATAGTGAACACTATACATAGCACGGTCTCTGGCAACCCTTTATGGCCAGTTCTGCTAATTTCATTGTTCAAAAAACATATATGCATTTGGATTTTTCTTTTAATATTTTTAATATTTTCAGGATGTGGTTAAGTCAAGCAGTGGATACTGATCCTGTGGATAAAGGGGCCATATTGTATTTGAAACAAAATATGGAGAGTTTATTAAGAAAGAAATAAGCTGTTAGGAGAAAAGATGGAAAAACCAGGGAATAAAGAACAAATGAAGAAAGTATTAGGAATGGAGAGAGAGAGAAATGAAATTAGTTGATTAATTGATTTAATCTTATCTAAATATTACATAGATAAAAGATTGGGCAAAAAGAAATGGTAAATGTAGGAAAATTTACAAAATTTGAAGAAATGGTGTAAGGAGAGGAAAGCATAGATGAAAATAAAGTAATGAATAAAATAAATTTATAAAATATTGTGAGAGGCAGAGGCTCAGGAGGATCTGCTTAAAGCGTTATAATAATTCAGTTTGGAAGAGGAAATAAGTACCGAGGTTTGGAAAAATCTATGGGATATAAGAATATTGAAATCTATGTTGGTAAAGGTCAAGGAAAATTTTTATAAGCTATTTTGGGAGATGGTATTTAATTCCAGTGAAATTAATGTTCTGCTGGAGTGGTTTTTAAGAAAATACAGTAATGCTGATTTCTAAAGGATGCACAAAAATCTCGGCATGTTGAGCTGAGCCTTGGCTTCTCTCTGTCCCGCGTTACAGTTGTGTATTTGCAGAGAGAGAGGGAGAGGGAGAGAGGATCTTGAATTCATGTTAGCCTGTAGAATTCAGTTTAGGCCAAAGGAGAAAAGTGAACATCCGGGCAGAAATGTGTCTGCATTCCAAAAGAAGACTGGGGTGTTTTTGGTTTGGTTCGGTTTGCTTTAGATCTCAGCTACAATCCTACAGGAAATTCCCATAAAAGCTAGCGTTCTCAAAGCTGGAATTCAGCATACCTAGATAACAGCAAAAAGACACAAATCGTGACTACAGAAGAACCGCACAACTTTAACATTGACAATGAAGAAATCGAAATAGTTACAGATTTTGTATAGCTTGGTTCCATCATCAATCCAAATGGAGACTGTAGCCAGAATATCGGAAGACTGAGAATTAGGAGGACAGAGCTATGAAGGAACTAGAAAGCATTGTCAAGTCGAAAGATGTGCCCCTAGAGATCAAGATCATCCACATTCTTTGTATTTCTGATCACCATGTATGGGTGCGAAAGCCGGACAGTTAAGAAAGCAGACGGGGGGAAAATTGATTCCTTTGAAATGTGGTGCTGGAGGAGAGCTTTACGGATTCACTGCGCTGCTGGAAAGATGAACAAGTGAGTCCTGGAACAGATCAAGCCTGAGCTCTCTCTTGAGACAAAAACGTTGAATCTGAGGTTGACCTACTTTGGGCACATCATGAGAAGGCAGGATTCTCGGGGGGGAAAGACAATAATGCTAGCAAAAGTAGAAGGCGGTAGGAAAAGAGGGAGGCCAACCGTGAGATGAACTGACTCTCTAAACGAAACCATGGGCTAGAATCTGCAAGAGCGGAGAAAAAGGCTATTTTGGAGAGTGCTCGTTCATAGGGTTGCCACACATAGCAACAACAGGAAACAGCAAAACAAATGAAGAAAACATGAACTTTTCTGGCACCTTGAGGACTAAGATTTATTTTAGCAAGCCCTTTCATGGATTGCAGTCCACGTCTCCAGATGCATTAAATAGGTGAGCTTCAGAGGTATCTACACTCATAAAAACCCACATTCCTGGGGAGTTTGGAGGCCCCCACCCCACCTCCCCTTCCAAGATGCAGATTTCAATACAGTCTTCATGGAGACTAGTATTCCTCCCGCTGAGCTTCCCCCACCCCACCCTGCGTACCGAAAAGTGGGCAGACAAAAAGGTTTCCTTTGTCGGGGAATTCAGATTGCGTGACACTCGCTCATCGCAGGCCTGCTGGTGGGCATGTGAAGATCGGCCAGAGGGAGAGGGGGAAGGTTCTCCCCACTCGGCTGTTGAGTCCCTCTTCTGAGTTTTAATTCGGTTCACCTATGAGGCCACGATATCAGCCTGGTTCTTATGAGAAACCACTAGGAAATATGGATAACTTTCCGCAAGAGGTCGGATCCGCTGCGCATTTATTCTGCAATAAATCCCACTGCATTCTCTGTTGGCGAAAATCCTTCTGCTGGCTTTTTTTTGGGGGAGGGGGGGAAATCACTCATCTGTAGCCCAGCATCAGTGGGGTACCAAAATTAATCATAGTGCAGTGATAGGAATTGCCCAGCCTTCAAGATTCTTCTGGGGGAAGCTCCATGACGGTGCAGCTTGCCCAAGGCGACACGGGCTGGTTCTTCCCTTTGGGAGGCCCAGTGGGGGACTGAACTCCCAACCTCCTGGGGTTGCACATGTACTTGAAAAATAGACAAGGAGACCAAATCCGGATCTGGACGATCCTCCCGAGGAGGAAGAGAAAGGTGAGTCCAGGCGGGGGGGAAAGGCAGGAAAGGATGGAAGTCCCTTGGACCTCGTATTTTCATGAAGCCGTGTCTCCCCACCCCATATTGTAACAGGGTGTTTCTTTTTTTTATTTCCAAGGTTTCGGACATGAAGCATCTCCCACAATTAGGAGCCCACTCTAGTCACCAGCTCTGGCCCCGGATGGATCACTCCTGCCATCATCTTCCCCGGAGTCCCCTCCAGAGCCTAGCCACCAGCTGGAACAGCTGCCATCATCCCCTGAGCCCCCCCCCCAGCTCTGTGCCAGAGACGGCCGAACCTCTTGGGAACCATCTCAACATGTCTGTGGCCTCAGGCAGCCCACCCAAGGAAATCCTAGGGGGCCCGATTCTGACAGAAAGGGTCCCCTTTCCCTCTCGGCTCCAAGGCTCAATGGTGGTGTGTTTGATGGAAGACCCAACTTTTCCTAATGATGACCCTCTTGTGGTCACTTATGAATCGGGTCCCGTGGGGATCGCCTTCCAATTCGGCATTCCCGGTCCGGTCTCCTAAACCGGAGGATCGTGGCCCACGGGGTGAGGCGATGGGGGACTGTCGCGTCCACCCAGTGTCCCTTGTTTATTCATGTGTATAAATTTGATCTCAGATAAAATCCGTTACTCTTAAGAGGCCGCATCTTGTGTTCTTTACACACAGACACACACCGGTTGAAACACACTGACACAGTTACCACATCGTTACATTTATTGTTTAATTATTGTATTCCTGTCCTGCTTTTTCTTCCGACAGCGGGACTCAAACATTTATTCATTTATTTAAATTTTGCACCACACTCTCTGGGCGGTTTACAAGGAAAACGCCTGAAAGTTTGCCACGCCTGCGTGGGAAGGTAGGAGACAGGGGAGATCATAGACTATTTGCCTGTTTTTGTCACAACTGAGTCACAGAAGCTCTGCAAAATGAGCAGCTATAGAAATTTTTTGGACTAAAACTCCCCCAAATCCCAGATTGCATGGCCAGGCTCCCTAAGGGAATATATTGGCAGTTTTAGTCCCAAAAGGTAACATTGTCAAAATCCGTCCTGTGGAAGAAAAACAAGACACGTGCATTTCTGATCTTGGATGCTCCTGCTTGCTGTCTGGACAAAAGAACTGCAAGTCCCATAAGGCTCTTGCCTTAAGGCCTCCTCTTTCCCAGGAACTACATTTCCCGGCATACTTTGCGACGGAGGAGGGTGGGAGAGGCGAGCGCGCAGGCGCGTTGCGCTCCGAACGAAGTCCGTCCCTGGGCAGGTAAGAGAGGGGCTGCTGCTGGGGGAGGCGACGCGCTTCAATGGGGGGGGGAGAAGGCAGTTTGCGAGGAGGGGGGAGGTTGTCTGCAAAACCCCCCCGCCCCGAAGAGCCCCCCTCTCCCTTCTTAGACCAGGCTTTCCTCCCCTCTCTCAGTTCCAGCCCTTGGACTCCAAGCCCCATCATCCCCAGCAAGCGTGGCCAGGGATGATGGGCGTTGTAGTACACCATCTTGGAAGGTGACCTGTTTTCAAGCAAGGCTGGAGCTGGAAGGGATTCGGGGAGGGCACGCCCTGAGTAGACATGGTCTAGAGGGGCGGGATAAAAATCAAATAAATAAATAAAAATAAATAAATAAATCTCTTTTCCTCCCCTCTGGAGAGACATGGGGAGGGGGGTTATCTCCGTAGAGTACAAAAGAAAAATATATACCTAATCTTCTTCTAAAAGAGTCAGACTTAAAGGTTAATGCAGTCATAAAACTATGGAATTGTTATAAATATAAAAAAATATTTATTAAACAACTTTCAGTGATAGATATTGTTTGACATTTACATCAGCATCATTTTGCTTGGGAGTTTAGGAATTCTGCAGCAGAAACTGGGCTAACTTAAAGGTCAAATAATTCTTTATCCAGTTTTTGAATTTATTTTTAATTTAAAAAAAAAATACTTATTGACCGTATTTGGTCAAAAGGTAGCTGTATCATGGTAGAGGAGTGAGCAGGCGTCTGATGGCCAGAAAGGTTTGGGACACTCCAGCCGAGAAGGATCCTGCCCGAAACCCTGATGAGAGGGGACTGACCATCCGATTTGGCCGTATTGGCCTGTGTGAGCCATTCACCGATTCAATATAAGGCAGCCTTTTCTGCCTCTGAACGTCTGGTCAAAACCAGTACAGAATCAAAGCCAGACAGGGACCTGAAAGATGGACCTTAGGCCAAAAAAAAATAAAAAATAAAAAATCAGATATCTTTCAAGGGATTGACCGGGTCAGAGATGATCCTGGAGTCGAATCAATCAAACGATTTTACTCTAGGATTCAAGACAAAGTTCGGGCAAACGAGCAGGCACGGATTATGCAACAGATAATGGTGGCGAAAGGTAATGATGTCCTAAAGTGTCCCTCTGAGCTGGAGAAACCTTGATTCTTTTAAACTCTAGGTGTCAGAATCCCCCAACCAGAAAGGTCACTGACCATCTGGGTTTAGGGATGATGGGAGCTGTAGTCCAAAAACGTTCCGAAGGCATTTACTAGAGTTTGGTGCAGGAGAATGCAGGGCTCAGTGCCATGCAGGGAGGCTGAGTCGGGAGGTCTGTCACCACGAACCGTTTCTTCTGGAGTCAGAGCCTCTGTCGGGGCCTCCCACGCAGAAGGATGATGACCGTGGTGGGTATTTCTCCTGTGCAGGAATTCTGCCGGTTTCCTTTCCGCCTCTCTGGGTTTCCGGCGACTTGCGGGTCGTTTTTGGCAGAGCCGCTGACGAAGCCATGTCGCAACCGGGATCCGCCTGCCAGCCGCCTCCCGACGTGGACACCGATGACTGCCTTCACGAATACTGCTACCTCTTCAGCCCTGACCTCCTCGTGTAAGTCCCGCCGAGGTGACACTTCCATCTAGTGGGGAAAAAACCCTCCTTGAGACGTTTGCCCAGCTTCGTGGAATCCTTTGGGCTTCCCCCGCTTTCCAGCCATCGTGCTTCTTTGCAGATCTGGGTCCCTCCTGTCTCGGTCGTTTCCGCGTATACGTTGGCCAGCTTTCAGGGATGGGGGACTTGATTTGCGGGACTTGCTGTCAAATCGGACTCGAGTCTCACCGGTGGCTTGACTCACGGCTATAGGAAGAGTCGCTGAAACGAGGGACGCTTAGGGCAAGCAGGCACATTTGCTTTTCGGCCAAAGGGCTGCCAGCTCAGCTGAGGTCTCGCTCTGAAACCGAATTCCTGTCCTCAGAATATGCTCGGTTCTTTAATTATAAGGGTATGTCTTCTGCCTGTGGTTCAGGCGGGTGGGTCTTGCGGTTCCGGGAACAAGCAAAGCAGGTCTGTCGAGGGCTGGCATCTGCTCTCGCCTATTTTAGAATGAAATCCGCATCGACCTGATGTCAGCCAGTCTTACTGAACTCCGTGGAAAAGAAGGGCAAGATGCGGTTCTAACTTAGGGTGACCCTTTTGGGGTTTTTATAATGACACTTCTCCCTTCAACAATGCTGGAAGGAGGGGTGATGGACTGTTGTATAGTTTGAAATCTACATATAACTCTTATATCCGCCCCCCCCAAAAATAACTAAAACCTCTATCTAAGGGGGGAAATAGAGGTGCAGTCTCTCCATCGCTGAGAGCATCATCACATCATTGTGACCTCTTCCGACCTGTGTATAACTAAAACCTCTATCTAAGGGGGGAAATAGAGGGGCAGTCTCTCCATCTCCGAGAGCATCATCACATCATTGTGACCTCCTCCGACCTGTGTCAGCCTCTTAGCGTGCCCCAGCATCCTCCCCAGCTGCAATGTGGAGCAACCATGGCAGGAAAGGAGGGTCTTCAAGCTGGCAATGACTGTTGTAGAAATGCTGTGCCTAACAAAGTACAGTGGTGCCTCGCAAGACAAACATAATTTTAACAAAGTACAGTGGTGCCTCGCAAGACAAACGTAATTCGTGAGTAGCGCTGAAAAAATCGTCTTGCGAAAAGCTGTTTCCCATAGGGATGCATTGCAATGCATTCCTATGGGAACCTCCCAAGATGAATGAATTTTTTTTTGTCTTGTGAGGCGTCGGTCTTGGAAGAAAAGAAAAAGCCGTCTTGCGAAGCACGGCCATAGAAGAAGCCCTCTTGCGAGGCACCGTAGCGATCACAAAAACCATTCGTCTTGTGGGTTTTTTTGTCCCGTGAGGCGTTCGTCATGCGAGGTACCACTGTACAATTTCCAGCTGCATTCCCCTTGAACTGGCAGCTTTCTGCTAGCAAAGCACCTTTGACGTCGGTTTTGCCGTGCAGGCTTTGAAGTCAAGTCGAAATGTTCATTGAGTCGGTATGTGTGCTTAGCATTACTTAAAACCAGATCAGACACTTTAAAAAAAATGTCACTGCATGAATGAGTCTAAAGGAGTGATCTTAGAGCCACTGGCCAAATTGTTTGGGTTTGTGTGTATGTGTGTATTTTTTTTAAAAGACAAATTATCCCCTTTACTCATCCTCAATATGAACCGCTTTTCAAAATCTGAAAGAAACAAGGTTTGCACAGATCAAGAAGCCTGGCATAAGGGGAAGCCTCCCGTGTACTTTATCTATCCTTAACAGAAAGGTCAATAGCCATTCCAAGGTGCAAGAGGTTTTTTTTTTGAAGGCTAGTGAGATAAAACCCCTTTGATCTGCCTGCAGCTGATGGGGAAAGGCTTAAAGGGGTCTCTTTCTTCCTCCTCCATGGTGTATCCTAATCTCCACTTAGGCCTGCTGCCGTTGCTAGCGTGGGTGTTGTGACAAGTCCATGTAGATCTCTTTAGTGTTCTCCTTTCCAATGTCCTCTTCCTGATTTTCCTAGGGGCAAAGTCGCCTTTGTCACTGGAGGTGGTTCCGGTATTGGATTTCGCATAGCGGAGATTCTGATGAGGTGCGTATGGCGAAGAGAAACTCTGGGGTTCTGCTTTTGGGAGAGATCCTTCATTCTGTCTTCCCCAGAGCTTAGAAAATCAGTGTTATTGAGCTACAGCGTCCAGGATCTCCCCACGAAATCTAGGGAACCAAGGTTGGGGGCCTCTGATGTCCAGTCATTAGCAGTCGGGTACAAAGCCTGGATCCAGCCTGTTCTGTCTGCCCCTTGTTTCACAAGGTTGTGTTTTTTTCTTTTTTGCAGGCATGGCTGCCAGACTGTCATTGCCAGCAGGAACATCCAGAGGGTGACCGAGGTGAGTGGCACAGTCTCAGATCTGCTGCCAGAAAAAGGGAATGGTGAACCACTTTCAATTACTCTCTACCTGGAAACCCCTGAAAAGGGGCTGCAGAAAAAGGGAATGGTGAACCACTTTCAATTTCTACCTGAAAACCCCTGAAAAGGGGGTGCCATTAGCCAAAATGGACTTGACAGCACACGATTAGAGATGAGGCTATACGAATACGAATAACCCCGCAAAGGTGGCGTTGACGAGGGTCCAGCCCCATGGGGCCGGACGGTCCGCTCATCGATCGGACGCGGACCACACAATTCTACCAATGGATCCTCAGAGCACAATCCGCTCATCACTCTTCGACCTTGCAGCGAGTCTTGCCCTCCCGCCTCCTGCCAGGAATGGCGAGTGGATGGCGCACCGCGAATCCATTCGTAGAATCGCGTGATCTGCACGCGCGGCGGATCGGTGAGTGGACCGTCCGGCCCCATGGGGCTGGACCCTCGTTAACACCACCTTTGTAGTGCCATTCGTATACGAATATACCCCCATCTCTACACATGATTATCGCTGGGATCAAGTTAACGCTAGGCAATGATGACTTCCATTTCTTTTAAGTTGTTTGGCCAAAATCAGGTTAAGGAAAAACGTGCGCACGAGGGTGATCATGGAAGCCACACACCCCCTTTGGCACCCCTTCTTTTGCATTGATGCCAGGAAGCGCAACGGACATCCTGCAAAAAGGGGTAGAACTGTTTACATGATTATCTCAAAATAATTGCAAAAGGCAATAGGGTTGTCTTGTTGTTTTTTAGGGGGGTTTCTAGTGTGACGGTGTGAGCCCTTGCCTGGCGAAGTCTTGAAAGCTGAAAGAAGACATCCTGGGGCTGGTAGTTCAGGGAGGAGCGAGGGCTCCGGGCGCTCTTCAACTCTCCCTCACTTTAGCGGAGCAAGGATCAATTAGGCGAATTGGGGTCCATCAGGAGCCGCCTTAGCTCGTGACTCTTTCCACTGGAAGTTTTGTGCTCGAAAAGCAAGAGGAAGTGGCTATCTAGACATCTTTTCCCCCTTCTTCTCCAGGCTGCCAAGAAGCTGTCGGCCGCCACCGGCCAAAGATGCCTGCCGCTCACTCTAGACGTCCGGCAGCCCCAGGCCATCATGGCGGCCGTGGACGAGGCCCTGCGGGAGTTCAAGAGGATCGATATCCTTGTTAACAGTGAGCTTCTTTGCATCTGTTTTACTCTGAAGTCCTCCGTCTTCTGCTGCTAGAACTCGGGAGAAAGTGGGCACTGAGAAGCAGTCAAGAAAAAGCGTAATAATCTTTGGCCCTCCAGATGTTTTAGGCTACAAAAACCCCAAAGGCCCAGTTGGTAAGACCAACAACGGTCAAGGATTATGGGAACTGAAGTGCAGGACAACTGGACAAACCATAGGTGGGGAGCCATCCCTGTGGGACACAGTTCCTGGGCTTGTGGGTCGATTTACCATAGATCATCACCTCCTTATTTAACTTCAGTAACAATGGAATAAATCTATCCGTCCCACCGCTGGGTTGAAGGATTATTGTAACAGGAATACGAGAAAATGTTGACCTTGCGCGGGGCTCGAAACTAATTTCTAGACTCAGAATTCTTTTATTCTTGCATCGGGCTTCCATTGCTGGGTCTTGGAGCTTAGTTATTAGTTGCCTGTGATATCCAGCCTTCTCTCCAAAGAGCTCAAGATACTGTATGTGGGTTTCTTCCTTCCTACTTTATCTTCCCAACACTCCCATGAGGTAGGCCAAGCGGAGGAGAGTCAGTTGCCCAAGATTGTCAGCCGAGTTCCATGAGGTTCCTAGAAGAAACCAAAGTGGACCCCCCAAACCAGAAGCCTGTGCTCCCCCCTGCTATTTGTGGGTCCTGGCAGGGCTGTACTGACTTAGGTGCCAGCTAGTTAAAATACAGTGGTGCCTCGCAAGACGAACGCCTTGCACCATGAAAAACTCGCAAAACGAAAGCGTTTTGCGATGTCCTAGGCGCTTCGCAAGATGGTTTTTCCTATGGCCGTGCTTCTCGAGATGATTTTTTGTCTTGCATTGATGCTTCTCAAGACAAAAAAAAATGGCATTCTTCTTACGAGGCGCTTCATAGGAATGCATTGAAGGCAATTTCAGTGCATTCCTATGGGAAACCGCGCTTCGCAAGACGATCGTTTTTGCAATACGAAGGGACTCACAGAACAAATTGTTTTCATCTCGCGAGGCACCACTGTAGTTTCCCCCAATTCAGTGCCCTTCAGAGGTATGGACTACGGCTTGCCGTTGACCCCATGACCTGGGGCTGATGGAAGTTGGGGCTTAAACCTCTGGAGAGGGCTGGGTTGAGGACGGCTGAGCTACGTCATTGCAGGTTCAGCAGATGCTGTCCTCGGTCTTGTGACCTTCTCATGTCCTGACCTTATCCCTGATCTCTGCCCAGATGCTGCCGGCAACTTCCTGTGTCCAGCCAGTGCCCTGTCCTTCAACGGCTACAAAACCGTGATGGAAATCGACACTTTGGGCACCTTCAATGTCTCCAAAGTGCTGTACGAAAAGTGTCTCCGGGTGAGTTGCCCTCCTCCAGGGGGTCCGGGAGCGACGTGTTTGAGAACGGGCCCCTTTGCGTGTCGGCATTCCATGGTCATCGTAACCTCCTTGAGATCCTTGGGTAGGGGTCTTTGGGTCCTCCAGGTAAATGATTCCCAACTTTGGGTCGCCCAGGTGTTCTTCAACTTCCAACTCCCAGAAACCGCGGCCAGCCCAGCGGGTGGTGAAGGCTTCTGGGAATTGCAGTCCAAGAACACTTGGGTGACCCACGGTTGGGGACCACTGCTCAAGTTAGGTTGGAGCTCCTTACAGTTTTCACTGATGGCTTGTGCTGGCTGGCTAGAATGGAGGGGAGTTGTGTTTGGAGGGCCATAATTTGCCTACCTTTGTTTGCCTACTCCTGTTTCGTTGCTCTAGGACCACGGCGGAGTCATTGTCAATATCACCGCAACCCTCAGCTACAGAGGGCAGGCGCTGCAGGTGCACGCCGGGACGGCTAAGGCGGCCATAGGTACGGTGGAAAGATCCCCACCAGAAGAACATTTCTGAGCCAGGGATTGGGGGCGGGGGGGACACTTTACATACCCCTCTGCAAGCTGATGGATGGAAGCCCCCTACCGGCCCTTATTGTGGCGTACGCTGGCTGGGACCCGTAGGGGTTGTAGTCCAGCCTGGGAGAGCCACACATTCCTCGGTCTTCTTCCAGGCAGGTCTTGAAACTGTTTGCTTGTTTCTTTGTTTGACTACACTTCCCAGAATCCTCCTGGCTAGCATGGGTCCCTAGTGATTGCCGGCCCCCGGATTCTTGTAGTCCAGAAAAGTAGCCATTCCAACTCTGGTATGGATGTCCTCCTCGTTGGAAGTCTGAAAAGAGGGAGATGCCAGATCTTGTAGTTCAACTGTCTTCTGCATCCAGGGCACCTGGTGCTTCCCTACTGCAGTCCTGTCCCGTTCTTCCAGAGTCCAGTGGTTTATAGTCTTCTCCCATTAGCTCCGGGGGAAAGTTCTTGATTGGCACCATTTCACCGTCTTTGCTGTTTGTAAAGTCCTTCGTAGTCCTAAGAATTCTGTTCATTTTTCTTCTGCAGGTATTTCCCCCATTGGAACACACTGATGGTTTTCAGTGCATTCCAATGTTTTTTTTATTTTTGCATGACAACGATTTCGCTTAACAGCGATTTTAACGGAACAGATTATCGTCGTCGTGCGGGGCACCACTGTATATATAAATGATGAAGTTACCAGAACTGGCTGCTAGAGGGAGCCAGAGAGCATGCTATGTAGAGCTTTTGCTGTTATGATTGCATTCGCTATAATCTGCATTTTCTTGCATCTGCGGAAGGGAGGTGGCTTGGAACCAGTGCCCTGCAGATATGGGAGTCCTGCTATACTATTAAAATACACCCAGGTGCCCTGCATTCTTCACCATTCAGACTTCTGATTTCTTACAAACCGCGTCTTCTGAACCCCCAAGTGGCATCTAGAGCAGTGGTTCTTAACCTGTTTTACTTGGATGTTTTTGAACTGCAACTCCCAGAAACCCCAGCCAGCACAGTTGGTGGTGAAGGCTTCTGGGAGTTGCAGTCCAAAACTCCCGAGTAACCCAAGGTTAAGAACCAGTGATCTAGAGAGCCTTTCTTCCATCCCCGAGGACATAATTGGTTTATCTATGGATAAAATCATGCCTAGAGAACAGAGAGGTGCAGGTTATGGGCTTTCCATTTTCCTTGGCTGTTTTTCAGAGTTCTGAAAAGTTCCTTTTGGGGGGGGGGAATGCCAGGTGCTAATGACAGCGCTGGTAGGGGAATTCTGGGATTGGTGATCCAAAAAAGTAACTTTTCCAGGCTCTGGAATACGGTCAAAACAGAATCACTCCACAAATAAGCATATCTGTCGGTTTGATGGGGATCGTCGCGATCTAAACCTCAGTGGAACTGTTCAGATAATCCTAAATTTTATTTAGGATGCTAAGCCCCTAGTCCTTGTCGTTGTGGTCTTTGAAAATATCTTTCAGAGGACAGTCCCCCAGATCCTACATCTGCCTGGCCGATGGCCATGTTGTCTGGGGATTCCTGAGGTTGTAATTCCATAAGGTCATTTTAATAAGCTTTTTTTTAAAGGCCCATAATGTTTCTACCTACCCCATCTTGAGATTTATTCTGGACCCTCTCTGTTCCCTCGCAGACGCAATGACAAAACATCTGGCCGTGGAGTGGGGACCGAACCGAATCCGAGTGAACAGCGTGGCTCCGGGTCCCATTACGGGCACAGAAGGAGTCCGGCGCTTAGGTAGGAATCCGAAGTGTGGTGCGCATGTGTTGTGTATCTGCTTTTCTCTTATTTTTTTTCAGACTTATTCTCGCCCCCCCCCCCGACAAGCCCCTACTCTGGGCAGCTTCCAAAACATAAAATACTGTATTTTTTTGTGTATAAGACTATACTTTTGTCTAAAATCTTTAGACTAAAAAATGAGGGTCGTCTTATACATGGAAGTAAGCTGAGGAGCGAACAAAAACAAGTGGAGGGGAAAGCAGGGATCGAAGCGATCCTGCAGCGCTTTGATCCCTTTCCCCCTACACTTGCTACTCCCCACGTAGATTTCTTAATTTTGGATTAGAAAAGTAGGGGGCGTCTTATACACAGAAAAATACGGTAAATATGCAAACCGAATTAAAACACTGAACATATAAAAACAAAAGACCCTTATAAAACCTCCCATCTAGCAAATATTCCTGGACACATAAATTGCTACAAAATTAATATTATAAAGGGGGCGAGGCTTGTAAAGGCCTGGGGGAAAAGCCAGGTTTTAACTTGCTTCTGGAAGCTCGGGTGGGTGGGGAGGGCAACTGCACCTCCACAG